TTCCCTGATATTTGTAAATTCTCATGCGGGAATACAGAACCATGGTCCATTTTTCCTGAACGCCCCTAGGAGTCTCAAAACAGGGGGAAGAAATGGTCCAAAGTTCGATCCTCCGTGATGACAAATTTTTGCAATTCATGTTGGGGCCTCCAAAATGCCGCAAAACACGACAATTACATCTATTGTCGACGATGGAGCCATTTGGCCGCAATATGGGGCCGAAAAACTACTGGTAAGAAAGTCCTGAGCCGATTTTTCGCAAGCGAAAACCGTCAACGTTATCAGCATCGCATTGGGAAGGGACACCACTTCCATCATCAGTGCCAAGCTCTGGTTCGCAGGCTTCGAAGGAGGAGACACGGCTTCCGAAGACAAGACAAGGTTGGGAAGCCCCCAAACAGTGGAAGACTCCACCGTTCTCGGCGCTGTCGAAGAGGATCCGGAGGTTAGCACCCGCAGCCTTGTGATAAGACTCGGGTGCACCCATCCCACAGTCCTCGGTCCCCTCCACGCCCTCGCCACAGGAAAGTGCCGACTCGATGGATCCTCATGTCTTGACCGATAGCACGCGGTTCAGGCGGGTACCCATTTGTCAGTTTCTCCTTCTTTGTCCGCACCGAAAGGAGTTTTTGGAAGGCATGATTACGAGAGATGAGAGTTGGGTCCTCTACGATTCTAACAAGCACAGTGCCGTGTGGCTCCCTCGAGGAGAAGACCCGCCGACACAAGCAAAATCGGACCTTCACCCCAAAAGCTGTCTTCTTTGCTACCTCTGGGATTCGTGAGGAATGTTGTATTATGAGATGCTCCCGCAAAGACATACCGCTACCGGCAGCATTTACGCCAGTCAGCTCCAGAAACTAGCGGACGCTGTTCAAGAAAAACGACCGAGACGAACTTCTGTCCACCTACTCCACGATGACGCCAGGCCCCACAGACCCGTGCAAAATTGGAAGAGCTGATCTGGGACGCGGTTCCCCACCCACCCTATTCCCCTGACATTGCCCTCTCTGATTATCACTTATTTCATCCCCTTAAGGCATTCCTAGCGAAGAAAAAATTCACCAAAGTTGAAGACGTTGAAAGAGCGGTCAGCGATTTCTTTGACTCTCAGTCTGCTCAGTTCTGGGAGAAGGGGGTCGCTGACCTGCCCATTAGGTGGGACTCTGTAGTGAGTAACAATGGTGATTATATTGTTGAGTAGATTCCATTGTACGCGGAATAAAAAAGTAAAGCACAAAAAAGTGTCAAACGGCTCAGGACTTTCTTACCATCCTAATATGTATATTGCGAAAATTTCATCACCGGGGATCGAACTCGAGACCATTTCTTCACCAATGTTTTGACATTCCTGGAGGCGTTCAGGAAAAATGGATCATGGTTCTGTGTTCCTCGTATGAGCCCCTACAACATGCAGAAAACCGTTTCGAAAAAGCGCTCCATGTCCTGAAAGTCCTT